AACTTTTTGCCGATTGCATATTTTTCTACAGATTTTTCACTAATTTGTTACCACTCTAATAATTTTTCGCCACTAAACCACTCTTAAGGGGAGCGATTTTTCTGACTTACTGTTAAAACTAGTATAATTCCAAAACAATATTTATGATATACCACAGTGCTCTGCTAGGATTTCATGAATTTATTACCTCCTTATTAATTTTTCATCTGTTAACTACTCCTAATGGAAAGTCAATAATTCTGTTAGATTAAAATTTAAGAGGAAAAATTATTTTTTTCAAATTCACTCTCTTCTACATATAACTGAAATAAAAAAGAGTTTTTTAAATGTTTACTAAACTGTAACCAACCTGATAATCTGCACCCTTAAACCACTCTTATTTGGAAATGTTCCTACTAGTTTCATATTTGAGCCAGCCAAATTTAAAAAATATATATATATATATTATAATATATATATATATATATATATATATATTAAAATGACAGTGTTCTGCTAGGTTTTAACGTATGTATTACCACTCTCGTCATTATTCACCATTCAACTGCCTCTTATGGAAAGCCAATAATTATTATGTTGGGTTAAAATTTAAGGTGAAAACTATTCTTTTACAATTTTACTCTCCTCTACTTATAACTAAAATAAAAAAGTGTTCTGTTAAGTTTCGACTAAGCTTTGATCACCATGATAATTTTTTACCCCTAAACCAGTTTTATTTGGAAACGTTCCTGTTAGCTTAATGTTCGAGCCAGCGGAATTAATAAAAAACGTTTTTGAAATACCACAGTTTTCTGTGGGTTTTACAAATTTATTAACACCTTAGTAATTTTTCACCTCATTTAACCCATGTGGAAAGTCAACAATTCTTAGGTTTAATTTATGGCGAAATTTTTTTTATATTTCACTGTACTCTCCTTATAATTGAAATATAAAACTGTTCTGGTAAGTTTATACACTTTCTATAGTTCTATACACTTTCACCACTCCGATAATTTTCTACCACTAAAACAATTTTATTTGGAGTCGTTCCCGCTAGCTAAATATTCGAGCCAGCGGAATTAAGGAAAAATATATTTTTGAAGTACCATAGTGTTTTGATAGGTTTTTACAAATTTATGGCCATCCTATTAATATTTCACTTCTTAACTACTCTTGTGAGAAGTCAGTATTAAGCTATTAAGCGGAAGCGCTAATATTAAGCTAGCTAATTCAAATAAAAATTTTGAAATACCACATGTGGTAGCTTAGGTTAAAATACAAAATTATTTTTTAAATACCACCAAATAATATAGACGCTTTATATAAGCGTCTATATTCTTTGATATTAATACCACTGTGTGCTACAAAGGTTTTCTATTTGATTTACCACCTTTACAATTGCTTACCACTCTATGAGAAGCCAATAATTCTGCTAGGTTGAATTTTGAACTGACAAAACAAAATTATAAAAGGCTATTTTTAATAATTTTTTTGTATTGTAGTTTTATTTCAACCTTTTACTAATTTTTGCTATCTTCATATTTTTCACCTAACACACTGGGCATAAATTCCGCACTTTACGTTCTAATTTTGGGGGCGTAAAATCGTACTTTTTCGTCCGGTACAAAAAATGCACGTTTTCAAATTTCAAGAGTTAAAAATCAGCTATTAAAAATTACTCAAAAATTATTGTACCTATTATAAAACATACATCAGGGACAGTACAGAGGCGGTATATTTGCAATTTATTACCAAAGTTAAATAATAATGAAGAGGATGATATCAATCTAAAATCCGATTAATACTGCAGCTCCCACACCTTGATTGGCGGTACACTTCGCTCAGGTACCCAATGGATGTACCCAATAAATACAAATCTTTTAATCTTTTAACAATAGGTACGCAAAGTGTTCCGACCATCCTTTACAATTAAGTAATTAATGTAATAGACATAATAAAATTATTTCAATTTGAATATTTCTTGATTGGTAATTATTCTGTGAAATATAACAATTCCATTGTATTTACTAAAACTCAACTTGATTTCAGTTATTTTATATTCATAAAAGGGACTCATAATTTGATTTCTCACAATTCACACTATAATCAGAGTCAATTTTTTAAAACAGGTAAAATTTATAATTTTTGTAATAAAGTAATTTCATATTTTCAATATTTAAACGCTGAAAAAATAAATATTAGTTAGCACAGAGTAACATTTCAGTATGATTTAAATTAAGGTAGTTAAGAAAACAATGACCTGGCTGGTAAAGATATAGTAAAAATCTAGTAGAGCACTTTTGTGTTTTCAAAAATATTTCCATGTAGCTAGCGTGAATGCGTATCTTGTTGAAAATGTTTATCATTAACTGTGGCTTATGGGGTCAAAAATTTATGAGGGTGGATAAAATTTGTAACGATGAGTCCAAGCCATCACCGTTAAACCACGTGCGCGCGAACCAACCCATGAAGTAGGAGTGTATCGACAGTAGAAAGGGCAAAACTAATTACCAAGCTCCGCTATATAAACCGCAACATTTCCTCATAGAGGAGAATCGACAGGTGTTGACTGAAGGTTCTCTTCTTCCCTACCCCGGCTTGTGGACGTGTTGAGTTCACAAGTTGTTCCGTCCCCATACCGTCGTTACCACGAAGAGCGTGTTGAGCTCTTCATTACCCGTACTCTGAAGCAGTCGTGTTGAGACTGTCGAGGAGTGTCCTGTTAACCCGAATCACTTAAGGCCACCACAGACATGTAATAATGCCAATATTACATGTCTGTGGTTTTCATTTTGAAAACCACAGACATGTAATATTGGCATAATTACTATAATTTGTATGAACTAATTTATTTATTTGTTTATTTTATCTTTATGAGACACCACCCTAATTGGGTTTATTTTTAATTGCAGATTAGTTTAACTTTGTATCTCGACCTGAAGATGCTTTGCAAATTATAGAAAGCGAAACCGGTCGTCAGATTGTTAAATTAAATTGATTGTGAGTAAGTCTTATTATTATTTCTTTACCTATTTACCGTTAACAGTTTAAGTTTTGAAGTTGTACACTACAGTAATGGAACAACGTTGCCATATGTTGCATCGTTAAAATATGATACAAACAAGTCCCCTGGCTTTGTCTCACCATGACGCCATGCGCAAAGTCGATCAAAATTAGAACGGCAAGTGAGCATATCTTGTTTGTTATAGTATCATGGCAGAGCACTGTGGTATATCCTAAATATTATTTTTAGAATTCTACTAATTTTACTACAACACAAAATCGCTCTCTTAAGGGGTTTGGTAAATTATTAGGGTGGTAATAAATTAGTGAATAATGAGTAACAAAATATATCATCGCAAAAAGTTTTTTTTCTGAATTCTGCTAGCTTGAACCTTAAGCCAGTAGAATCGATCCCCTTAAGGGTGGTTTGGTGGTGAAAAATTATTAGGTGTGTTAATAATTAGTGAAAAATGGGTGAAAAAATATTTCATAAGAAAAAAGTTTTTTTTCTGAATTCTGCTAGCTTGAAGCTTAGTAAAAAATGGGTGAAAAAATATTATGTAGGTTAAATTGGATTCCGTTCATTTGTCTCCGCTAGCTTAAGGGTCCTATAACAGTCACGAAAGCCACCTCGTCGTATTATAAAATAACTCCAAAATAACCATAATTAAAAATGTCCTAAATTGTGATGGCAAATTCATTTAGCTCTAACAAATAAACCAAGGCAACAAACAAAAACACAATGCTTAGGAGATATGATTGCAACCGAAAATTAACGTTTTACTAAAATCTGCAAACGAAATTATTCCACAAAATGTTTCAAAGTTAGGATAATAAAACCACGTTTTTATTCACCCCGTACAATAAATCAGATATTAATTTTACCAAAAAACTGAACTATACAATTAAAATTTATAAATTTATACAGGAGTGTGCTAAAAAAACATCAACAAAGGGCTAAAAATAAAAATATTAGAATACTTTGAATTTGACCAAAATTTTCTCCGTTGCGTTTTGTTGCATCTGAGCGTATTAAAAATTATATTTCTTAAAAAAAGGAAAGACAATAATATACTTGATATTATTATAATTTTAAACTAAAATAAAAAACAATCGTAAAATAGTTTCGAAACACAATTCAGATTTCTGCTTTATAATCTGAGCCTTCTAAGAATTGCAAGGCAGACAGTCGTTGATAAAAGATGTTAAAAGAGACATGGGGAATCTAAAATTTGCATTCCACGACATGTCTTTTACAACTAAGCAGAAATCCTTAGCGAATTGTGCTTCTAGTACTCCCACAGAGTAAATCCGAATAAAATGAGAAAAGGCAGCAAATATTTGATTTCGCGCAAACAAATCCTATGTATCTCTTGATACGTATTTCGACCTAATAGGTCTCGTCAGAAGAGCTATTCATAGGGGTTCTCAACGTGAAAAATCAATATTTTCTGCCTTTTAAGAAGCAACAATAACATGGCTTCAATACGGACGCACTAGCGACATCTAATTAAACAATCGTAAAATAGTTTCGAAACACAATTCAGATTTCTGCTTTATAATCTGAGCCTTCTAAGAATTGCAAGGCAAACAGACGTTGATAAAAGATGTTAAAAGAGACATGGGGAATCTAAAATTTGCATTACACGACATGTCTTTTACAACTAAGCAGAAATCCTTAGCGAATTGTGCTTCTAGTACTCCCACAGAGTAAATCCGAATAAAATGAGAAAAGGCAGCAAATATTTGATTTCACGCAAACAACGATTTTTTACGATTGTTTAATTAGATGTCGCTAGTGCGTCCGTATTGAAGCCATGTTATTGTTGCTTCTTAAAAGGCAGAAAATATTGATTTTTCACGTTGAGAACCCCTATGAATAGCTTCTTCTGACGAGACCTATTAGGTCGAAATACGTATCAAGAGATACATAGGAGTTGTTTGCGTGAAATCAAATATTTGCTGCCTTTTCTCATAAAATAAAAAACTTATAATTATCATAATGAATAAACACTTACCTTAATAACTAAGTATACATTCACTAATATTTGAATTATATTATATACAATTATAATACGTCGAATATTGTATGGCCTCCGATGTTCCATAAAACTGGGAACAAGTTTTGTCACCAATAATACATATGTAGTAAGGAACGATACAAGAAATATTGGAGAAGTGATGAATGAAACATTAGCAGGATCTAAAATAGATATTTTTTAATAAAGGTACTAAGTAAAACAATAATAATTGCTATAAAGTCAGTATGATTTAATGGGCGGTACTAATTTTCGCAATGAGTTATTTGTTATGCAGCTTCTTTGTATTCACCCAAATATTTGTTATTACACAGAAATCTCATTACTTTTTTATTTGTCCTACTACATTTTATAGCAGATACACCAAAAATCAAAGCGTAATAGTTACATTAGTTGTATATAAACATACAAACTTGTTGAATTAATGGTTCGAGAATAACAGCATAAAAACAGTAAAACAACCACCGGTGCAAGTGACGTGTGGGCAGACGACACATATAGTATTTGATAAAGTCAGTTGAAACATTTCTCTCCGACTCGATTTATAAGGGCAGTTCAATATTACATTTACCGGTAATCAAGTTAAAGTATAAATAACACGCGTCAATCTTTCAAACGCATTTGAACAATCACCGTAATTTCGTAGGAAATAGATGGAAGAAAGAGGGAATGAAAAATACATCCCATCAAATAAATATTGGACATTGATATGTTATTCAAAATCACCAATATTTAACACGCTACTTGGAGGTCCCCTTCTAGCCGGTGGCGAAGGGTACAGATAAGAAACTCTGTTGAATCATGCCAGTGCTGTACACCTTAAATGTTTATTATTTTACGAAGTATAATTAAATCATGATACTGTCAATATGGCCTATTACCTTTTAATTCTAAATTATTTTTGTTGCTTAATATGACATGTTAAAAACTTTTGTATACACTTATGTACTTTACGACAGCTTTAAGTAAATTAAAAATTGCCTTTTTTCTGTTCTTCATTAATCTATATTTGATAATGATGCGCCCATGTCTGGTAATATGATATTATTCTTTTAAGGTTTGTCGGCAACTAGTTTTTTTGGTGTTTCAACTGACTTTATAAATACTATACAAGCTTCTTCTCATATCAGTTGGCCCACCTATGGAATTTTCAGTTTAAGTCGATTACCACAACAAATTATACTCTGCATGTTGTTAAAAGTTTCCATATTAATTAATATGATAGTTTTATTAATAGTTATTAAAAACATTACCCTTATGCTTTTTTATTTATTTTAAACAATTAAAAAAAAATCACTAAACCCTGTTGATTACCTTGATTTTTTTAATAATTACGTTAAATACTGAGATATGGATAAATGGCATTAAAACAATAATACTGGTCAGTTAATGATCAAAAATGTTATTTTTCTAACGAGCTCTAACAACTATTCGCTCCGTGCGTGACCATGGTAGGGGTACATTGAAACGATGCCAGCGTGCGTAGCGGCGAAATATGACAAAATTGGAATATTGGACAAAATATTTTTACGCATAAGTTTTATCAAAAATGTGTGCAAATACATGTTGCGTATTTAATTCTGCTAATAATAGCAAAAACAGTGAGTGTAGTTTTTATAGGTTCCCAAAGATTACATATAAATTAGGAAAAGAAAAAGATGAATTCGTGCTATTAATATGAAAAAGTAAATATCACATAATTTACATTTTTATGCAATTGAAATAGGAAAAATTTAAATAATTTACCTTGAATGATATTTCATAAGGCTTCAATCTAACTGCAGATGACTTTAGCTTTTATATCATAACTTTTACTATTATTGTTTTTAATTATATAGCTCTTTTGCGTGAAAAACTTGATTTGCCAGTACTAGATTTTTCCCTTTCTTTTCTGCTTGGAGTTGAAATGATATATTATGATGAATTTTGAGAAACTCAGTTTTTAATACTACATTTATATTATTTGTACATAAACTGAAAAAATATAGTTAAAAAACTAATTTATTAATAATTGTCAATTTCGCATGTATTTAACAATGTCAAACATGTGTCATATATTTAACCTGAAAATTGGGACTCCAAAATTGTCAGATGAAGGCGGTAGGTGTCGCATCAGTCACGCACGGAGCGAATATCTTGGAACAAGCAGTTATTTTGCAAATAAAATACCAATTTATGAAATTCTTTTATGTTTATTTTTTTTTAATTGTAAATATGAAATTAACAACATTTTTGTATGATATATGGAATTATTTTTACAGTTTAATTAATTAATTTTTATTGATTACTATTTAATTAGTTATTTTGATAGCCAAAACATGCTGACACTAAATTTGGAACAAGAGATTTAACATATTAAAATAAATATAATAATTTATAACGTCGCCCTTAGATTGAAAACAGCCTGAACTCTATTAGGGATTGTACCAACTAGGCCTTCACAGAATTCAGGCGTGAAACTATTTCATATTTCTTGTAATTTAGCACGTAGTTGTGGCAAAGTACGCTGACGGATATTTCTTAGGTGTTGTTTCATTTTGTGTCAAAGTGCCTCCATTGGATTAACATTAGGGATGCTAAAAGGATGTGACAAACTTTAATGTCATGTTATCCAACTATTTGGTAGATTTAGCGTATGGCAGGAGGCTCCGTCCTGCTGAAAGATAAATCTCCGAATGGATATAACTATGCCGCACTTGGCAGAGGCCAATATTCAAGGATATATTGATATTTAGCTGCGTTTACTATGGCTTCAATAAAATGTAATGTTGCCAACACTTTTGCTGACATAAAACCCCACCATGATGCTCTGTGGAAACTTTACAGTTCTTTAGAGAAAATTCTTATGAGATACTTCTCGAATTACACTTTTTGCCGAATCACACGCTTTCGATAATCTCCCACACAGACATCAAATTTGCTTTCGTCTATAGATAATTTTGTTCCAGTTATGTTTGGTCCACGAAAGTTTTGATTTAGCCCAAATGTAACGATTCCTTTGTTGAGTTTCCGTCAGCAATGGTATTTATTTGACCTACTCAAATAAATCAAAAAACAGAAAATTTATATTGCAAAGAAGAACCGTATAAAAATTAAGACCGCTTTTGTGGATACATTTGCAACAGAATCTTCTAGAAACATTCATCCCAGTTTCTTTATTTCTTATAACGGATATTTCCCGTAGTGTATTTCTTCTTCCCGACTTACATATTGGAATTAAATGCACTCCTTTGAGAAACAGCTTTTGGAGGGCCTGAGCTTTTTCTGCAAACATCAATACTGGCAGTTTCACCATATTTATTAATTATATTAAACATCGTAGTTTTTGCCACAGCTCAATCACTGGTAATTTCACGGATTGTTTTCCCTTCATAGAAATTTCTCGAATTTTTGGATACGTAGGGTTTCCACGTTCCATTTTTTATATTTTACTCGTAATAAAACTGACAGTTGTTTTTATTCATACTCAAATTAGCCATGGAAATTATTATTAATAACGTACTACCTACTCGTATGTTGATTTCAAAGCCTTCTTTGTTTCAGCTGATAAAATTTAAGAAACGTGAAGGACAAGCAAAAAAAGTTCCAACATTTAGTTGTCAGCAGTTTTCGATTATCAAACAACTAATTACATAGTATTCAATATAAACTATATAATTAAGCCGCAAAATAATTCCATACATCATAAAAAATGTTAATTTCATATTCACAATTAAAAAAACATTTAATAGAAGAATTTCGGTAAATTGGCATTATATTCCCAAAATAACTGCTTGTTCCAACATATAGTTGTTAGGGCTTATAGTATTGTAAAGCTTTTTACCATTTGTGGATTGTATAATGGGTCGAGGTAAAGTTATCTTCTTCTTCTTCTCTTTTTTGTAGATCTTTCGATCTGTTTAATTCTGAAGCTGCCTCTGGTTAATTTCTTGGGAGATAGATTGCCAACTATCCCTCCATCTTTTAGGTGGTCTTCCGGGGGGTCTTGAACCGGGCGGATTGTTTTCTAGCGCAATTTTTGGGAGTCTATTCTTATCCATTCGTCTTACATGGTTGTACCACATCCTTTTGCGCTGCCTTCCCCATCTTACAATATCTTGAATTTTGCACTGCTCTCTAATGTTTGTATTTCTCGCTCTGTCTCTTCTTGTTTTCCCCCATTATTGTTCTTAGGGTTTTCATTTCGCCAACCCTTAGCATCTGTTTCGTTTTGTTAGTATCTTCGCGCACTTCTATGCCATATGTCATGATGCATGCAAGTTTTATAGATTCTAATTTTACTATCTGTGCGCATATACGGATTTGACTCAATTCCGCCTGGGTTGTCTGATGGGTGGATTGAGTAGCTCATCGGATGACACTGCCGGTCCCAAGCCCGGATAAAGAAGAGGGTCCCCATGGCAAGGCTAGCCACCTACCTGGGTAAAGAAACCCATATTGGCTCACAGAACTGAAGATTTAGCCTCGGATACCGGACGGAAATATCAGATGACGACACACGCTATGACAATGGAAAAACGAATTGGTAAAGTTATCGATGAGAAAATTTGTTCAATCATTATAAGATTTTTTAATTCTGGAAAATCCAATTCGGAAATCGCGAATATGTTGCAATTGTCATAATATAGTGTAAGGAATATAACCAGAAGATACACAACTGCAGGTTCCATCGTTACAAAACTTAGAAAAATCCGAAACAGTTAAAATAAACTGAGCAGATCAAAGTGCGTTAAGACGCATTATAGTGAAAAATCGACGAGCAAATTATATGGAGTTAAGCGTTTTATGGAGTAACGTTATTGGAAGACAAGTTTCTAGTTTAACATGTCACCGAGAGGTCCACAAATTAGGATTTGGTACTTACAAAGTAACAGTTTTTTGTAAGAAAAATAAGTAAGAATTGTTTTTAATAAATTTTATTTTATATGAGGCTAAGAAAAACCACTTTTAACATTACAACAAAAGAAAAATATGTAGACTGAAATGGTCAAAAGCACATAAAGATTGGACTCTGTCGCGATTCCATACAATGGAGTGATGAGTCCCGATTTAAAGTATGAGTTTAACACAGTAGAAGTCACGTCATTCGCAGGAAAAATAAAGCTTTCCATCCCGACTGTCTGAAGAGAAAAGTCAAATTTACTGCATCTGTCATGATCTGGGG